GAAGTAATTTTGATATTCGTATATTTAAACTTAGAAAAATAGAAAGTTTGAAGCTATAACCTGTAAAACTCAAATTAGATGTTTGATAATGTACTGCTGCCAAACAAGGTAAAGTCATATATCAGCAGTCCCCAACCTTTTTGGCACCAGGGATCATTGCACCTATGAGATTCTAATGCCTGATGATCTGAGGTGGAGCTGAGGCAGTGATGCTAGCTGGGAGTGGCTGCAAATAGAGATGAAGCTTCGCTCACTCACCTGTTGCTCACCTCCTTTTGTGTAGCCCGGTTCCTAACAGGCCACGGACTGGTACTAATCTGCGGACCGGGGGTTGGGGACCCCTGGTATAGTAGGCAACAATTTAAAATTAATGTCATGTGAAAAAAAAAATGCTCCTTAAAGAACTTCCCTACCTCTGATTCTGTGCTCCTTCAGACACAGAACACCATTCTGTTCATGTGGTTTACACATCAGCTGAAAAACTTTACTGAATGCTGTGCTGCTTATCTTATCTTTCCTAGAAATATTTTCTATTGACATGTTTTAAAATAACATACTTTATATTATTTATTTACATTGTTCAATCATATAGCTTAATTCTTCACACTGTCTCAGTGTGCTTTTTGAAGTATGACTCATAAAAATAATTTTCAGGAAGTGAAGAGATCGATATTGACCTCTTACAGCAGTTTGTAGTTGATTTGAGGTCCTCAAACGATACCACCACAGGCCTTTCAGGGTGTCATTTATTTGGACAATAAAAAGTCATTTCTTTGTGTCATAAATATTTTAGTTGTTTTAAGCCTTTCAAAGTCTCCTGCTCTTAGTAAAGAAAATTCAAACACAGTCTACCATTGTCTGAGGGCTGCAAATGTTATGACCATCCTGGTGCCACCCATAGAGAACAAAGGCTGAAAGTACCACCCATGGGAAGGACCGCTGCTCGGTGGAGTCACGCACACCAGAGGGTGCCTTTTGGAGATATCTGGCAACCGATGGCCTCCCCAGGAAGGAAAAGGAAGAACGAATGACATGGAAAATGGCATGTGAAGGAACTGGAAATGCCTTCTAAAAACAAGTTCACTCGCCTCAGCACATTATCTGGAACACCTGGAGAGACATTTCTGACCAACACAAAAATGTTTTTCAATAAGAAAAAAGTTCACTACAGGAAGTGTTAACTAGCAGATAGTTTTGCATGATGCAGCACAAGAACCTCAGTGTGGCCAGGGATCCCATAAAGAGTCCCCACTAAGAGCCCAGAGATGGAAAAAGAAAAGAGGTATACAAAGTGGATGGGGAGAGGCCCTAAAAGAAAACAAGTCAGTGTAAGAGGTTTGCTGAGGGCTGATCCTGTCTGGGATGTTTACAAAACAGAAATTCTTTACTTTAATTTATAGTAACCTATTTACTGAAGAGTAAGTAAAATGTTGCTATTATAATACCAGAGGCTGTTCCTTCGCCTGCTGATTTGAGCATAGTGTCGTGGCACTTCTCTATAAGCTCTTACACTTACATTCATCCACATACAAACATATACACAAGCACATACAGATACGCAGTGGAAGAATAAAAGGGGTATATAAAGGTTGTATGAAAGTGGTCCACTTTGGATGTGAGAATTTTTGTTTGATAAAGGCTTTAGTAAATGTTTTGGTAAATCAAAGACAAGGCCCCATTCAGTATAAAGGAAGGGATTGATTCAAAAAATGTTAAACCACTTTGCTCCAAAAGCAAGATGGTATTTTACAAGGATGGGGTTGTTGGGTACCAACAAGGTTTCTTTTTAAAGCATTATGATTTGTATTGTCTCCACAAATTTTAAGGTTCCTATGTACTGTATTTTTCTGGATGTTTGACGGAAAGTCATGAAAGAATAGAGATAATCAAATTTACAGATTGGAAAATTTGCTGAAGTTTCTGAAGAAAACAGAACATGGAAAAATAAGTCATAAAAGGGGATTGATGACCTTCAATTCCTTCAGAAGTGAAAGCTTAGGAAAGATTGAATTGTTATACTGTATGCGAAAGGTTATCATATGCAGTTTCACTATAATGACAAAAAAGAGTGATATTGAGAGTGCAACGAAATGTATCAGATGCTTGAAGAATTTGGTAAGAATCTAGATTGATCTTCCTGTCCTGCTTCCTTCAGAGGCATAAGACAAATATATGTTCATTGAAATATAAATACGTCTTATATAAAAAAAATACAAATATTTGTGTGTAGTGGAGGACCGTGAGTTGCTAGGAAGGAAAAATAAGCTTGTTTTGTATTATATGTAGAGTATATGCCTACCCGGTATACAGACATACATATTTCACCTTATTCTTGGTATGCCTTTTTATTTCATTTTTATAGGTATCCAAGAGAATTAGCAACCAGAAATGTCCACTCTCATTTCCAACTCATTTTGATAATGGTCCTAATATTAAAATGATCATTCTAAAGATGAAGTCTCAAGGATGATATGATAGCAAAGATATGGAAATATCATCATTCTGCTGACCACTGTTTAGCAGTCAAGAATACAGCAGCAAGCAAGAATGAGGATGGGCTGCCTGAAAGTTTCCATATACAGTTAAGTATATACTGCGGTCAGTTTGAAGACTTTTTTTTTAAATCTTAAATAAAAAAATCATGTACTATATTTGTCATGATGAGGAAGGGCTTTCTGGAGGAAGAGGGCTTCTTCTGTAATTTAAAAAAGAATGTTGACAAGTTGGTAGCAAGAACAAGAGTATTTTATAATATCATAAAAATGCATAAAATTTATATGTCTATATTTATAAAATAATGGGTAGAAAAAATTAAATACTATTCTCTCCAATAGATGAATGTTATCAGTTTTACACAAGGTTCAAGGGTTTTAGACATATTACAGGTAAATCTACATGATGTCTTCCTATATTATAGATAAAGGTTGCCATTTATATGATAGATTTTTGTTTATGTAATAAGAGATATTGATGCGAAGATTTTTGCATTGTAAGGTAGAAATGGAGATAATTATAAATACTCAAAGACACTCTAAGATTATATGTATGCATATATATTTTTTCTGCCAATTTTTCCATATTGAAATTTAGAAACTTTAAAGATAAAAAAGATTCTCTTGAATTTATTTTATGATCTTGTTAGTCTTAGATATTATTTTATAAAATATTTGTTTTGTACACTGGACATTTGTAACTATGTCAAAGGAGAGCTTTAGCAACAAAATCAATGCTGAATATTTTTATAACCAAATAATTTAATATTTTCTGTCCTTTAATGAATTGGTAATTCTTCAAATGCCGTTTTAGAAAAAGCTGTGTTTCCCATCCAAAGATTATAGATACATTGCAGTTTCATGTAGAAAGATCTCTCAAAAATAAGGACCCTTGAAAGAAAATTATTTGTCTCTAGCATATTTAAAGGCATGCATTCTGTAACGTAATTATATTATATGAATACCTGGAAAAAAAAATCCAGTACTCCAGTCTGGTTACCAGGAGAATAAGCTGTTTCCATGGTAACTCCCTCTTGTACACATTCTGTTTGCTCGTGTAGAAAAAGCACTTCATTGATATAGTGGTGCATCTTCTCATTGGTCATGTTGACACAAAGCTATTGTGGGGGAAAAGAAAACAATTCAAGATATATGGCCATGCATATCTAGGACACAGTTTTAGACTGATGAAATATTGACTCAAGAACATTTAACACCAATTAGTCTTTCAAGATAAAGCATTACAGTATTGCCTGAGATGCCAAAGTCAAGAGTTTCACATAGCATTGTTGACTTCTGATTATTCAGTTTAAAGTATGCGGAAATAAAAGAAGTATAATTACATTAACTTAACATTTTTGGATCTAAAATATATTTGAATGTTTAAAAATTATTTCCCAAAGGAAATATTAGGTCTCTAGTCAACAAGCAAAGATAAAACTGGGTTGATCATGAGATCCTAAAGAAAGAAGAAGCATTTCTTGCCTCCTCGTTTCTGTTGCATATCCATGATAGGCAAGAGGACAAGATTTCTTTGAGAAAGAATAACCAGTCTAAACATTCTATTGGAGAAACTATTTCTTTTATCTGATTTTTTTTACATTCCTCTAATTGTCAATTTTTTTTTCTATTTCCTCAAAACATTCTCATCAGAATATAAATATGTTATTTCTTAATCTCAAAGTTTTACTTTCTTAATCCTAAATATTATCTTGTAGGGGTAATGGGGGAGAGGGGAGGTAGGTGGGGTAAAATGAGTCAAATATGTGGTGATAGTAAGAAATCTAACTATGGGAGGTGAATACCCAGTGTAAATATATATATACATATATATATTTATACACACACACACACATACACACCTTACAGTTAAAGTGTACAGCTGAAACTTACTGGATTTTGTT